GAGATATGATCCCTCTATTCCCACATTGCTGAGTATTTTTATCAGAAATGTATGCTGGATTTTGTTGAATGCTTTTTCAGCATCTATTGATATGATCATGTGGTTTTTATTCTTCATTTTGTTTATGTGGTGTATCACATTTATTGATTTGTGAGTATTGTACCAGCCTTGCATCCCTGGGATGAATCCCATTTGGTCATCGTGAATAATTTTTTTTTTTTTTTATCCTCACCCGAGGATATTTTTCCATTTTTTGTACAGATAGAGTGGGAGGGAGAGAGAGGAAGGGAGAGAGAGAGAGAAACATCGACGTGAAGGGACACATCGAGTGGCTGCCACCCGCACGACCACCACCCGCACGACCAACCAGGGCCGGGGACAAACTGCAACCGAAGTACGCGCCCTTAGCGGGAACTGAACCCGGGTCTCTCCGGACCGCAGGCCGACGCTCTAACCGCTGAGCCAAACTGGCCAGGGCGTGAATAATTTTTTTGATGTCTTGCTGGATCCGATTTGCTAGTATTTTGTTCAGGATTTTGGCGTCTATGTTCATCAGGGATATTGACCTGTAGTTTTCTTTCTTTGTGGTGTCTTTTTCTGGTTTTGGAATTAGAATTATGCTGGCCTCACAAAACGAGTTTGGAAGTGTTCCTTCTTCTTAAATTTTTTGAAATAGTTTGCAGAGAATGGGTGTTAATTCTTTTTTGAATGTTTGGTAAAACTCCCCCATGAAGCCATCTGGGCCTGGGCTTTTGTTTGCCGGGAGAGTCTTGATTACCTCTTCTATTCCCTTAGTTGTTGTTGGTCTGTTCAAGTTTTCTATCTCTTCCCGGTTCAGTTTTGGGAGACTATGTGTTTCTAGAAATTTGTCCATTTGGCTTAGATTGTCGAATATGTTGCCATATAATTATTCATAGTAGTTGTTAATGATCTTTTGTATTTCTGTGGTGTCAGTTGTTACTTCTCTCTTTCATTTCTGATTTTGTGTATTTGTGTTCTCTCTCTTTGTTTCTTGGTGAGTCTAGCTAAGGGTCCATCAATCTTGTTTATCTTTTCGAAAAACCAGCTCTTTGTTTCATTGATCCTTTGAATTGTTTTTTTTTTTGGTCTGTATGTCATTTATTTCTGCTCTGATCTTTACTATTTCCTTCCTTCTACTTGCTCTGGGGTTTTCTTTTTGTTTGCTTTCTAATTCTTTAAGTTATGAGGTTAGACAACCAATTAGAAATTTTTCTTGCTTCTTAAGGTAGACCTGTAGTGCTATGAACTTCCCTCTCAGAACTGCTTTTGCTGCATCCCATGGAGTTTGTGTTGTTGTGTGTCCATTTTCATTGGTTTCTAGGAAGTTTTTAAATTTCTTCCTTGATCTCCATGGTAACCCATTCATTGTTTAATAACATGCCATTTAGCCTCCATGTGTTCAAATGTCTTTGATCTGAGTAGATGCTTGATATGATTTCAATTTTCTTGAACTTGTAGAGATTTAGTTTGTGTCCTATCACGTGATCTATCTTTGAGAATGTTCCATGTGCACTTGAGAAGAATGTTAATTCTGTAGTTTTGGGGTGTAATTCTCTGTAGACATCTATTAAATCCATTTGGTCTAGTGCTTCATTTAGAGTCTCTGTTTCCTTGCTAATTTTTTGTCTAGAGGATCTATCCAGTGGTGTCAGTGGGGTGTTGAAGTCCCCTGCTATGATTGTATTGCTGTCGATTTCTCCTTTGAAGTCCTCCAGAAGATTTTTAATATATGTTGGTGCTCCTATATTAGGTGCATATATGTTTATCAAGGTTATATCTTCCTATTGGATAGATCCTTTCAATATTATGTAGTAGCCTTCTTTGTCTCTAGTTATGGCCTTCATCTTGAAATCTATTTTATCAGATATGAGTATTGCTACCCCAGCTTTTTTTTTCTTTTCGTTTGCTTAGAAAATTGTTTTCCATCCCTTCACTTTCAACCTATGTGAGTCTTTTGTTGTGAGGTGGGTCTCTTGTAAACAACATATAGATGAGTCATGCTTTCTTATCCAATCAGCTACTCTGTCTTTTTATCGGAACATTCAAACCATTTACATTTAAGGTGATTATTGATATGTATTTATTTATTGCCATTTTGTTTAGTGTGGTTCTATTTTTCTTCCTGTTTCTTCTACTAATTACAGCAGTCCTTTTAACATTTCTTGCAGTGCTGGTTTGGTGCTAATGTATTCCCTTAGCCTTTTCTTTTTCTTTTTTTTGTCTGGGAAGCTCTTTATTTGACCTTCTATTTTGAATGACAGCCTTGCTGGGTAGAGTAGTCTTGGATTCAGATCCTTGTTTTTCATGACCTCGATTACTTCATGCCAGTCCCTTCTGGCCTATAGTGTTTTTGTTGAGAAGTCAGCTGAGAGCCTTATGGGGGTTCCTTTGTAGGTAAGCTGTTGCTTATCTCTTGCTGCTTTTAGGATTCTCTCTTTGTCTTTAATTTTTGGCATTTTAATTACTATGTGTCTTGGTGTGGGCCCGTTTGGGTTCTTCTTACTTGGGGCTCTCTGTGCTTCTTGAACTTGAATGCCTTCTTTCTTCACGAAATTAGGGAAATTTTCTGTCACTATATCTTCAAATATATTCTCTAACCCTTGCTCATTTTATTCCTCTTCGGGGACTCTCTATGATGTGAATATTATTACATTTCCAGTTGTCCCACATTCTCTTAAGCTGTCTTCCTGTTTTTTAATTGTTTTCCTTTTGGTTTTCTGATTGGTTGATTTTTTCTACCCTGTCTTCTAATTCACTGATCCAGTCCTCAGCTCCCTCTACTCTGCTGTTTAGACCTTCCTATGTGTTTTTTATTTCTGATATGTCCTTCTTGATCTTTTCTTGGTGGTTTTTAATTTCCAATTGGTTGATTTTCAACATCTTTATGTCCTTACTCATGCTGTTGAGCTTCCTCGAGATCATGGCTCTGAATTCTAGCTCTGTTAACTTGCCTAACTGCTCCACATTTATCTCATCTTCGGTAGAGGTCTCTTGTTCTTTCATTTGGCTTTTGTTTCTGTGTTTCACCATTTTGGCTATCACAGTGGGCTTTGGAACCTGCCAAATTTTCTCTGTAGGTGTTGGTGTTCTGCTGTTTGTGGCTCCCTCTCCTGGGTTTGGATGAGCAAGGGAAGACCCACGTGAAACACCAGTGTCAAGTCTAAATTTCCTGGTTAGAGTTGCTAGCCCAGAAATGGTACAGTTATCCTCTATCATTTTGCCTGGAGGCTATCAGTAGTGGTTACTTGAAGAGCCTTGGGTTGTCAGTTGAATGAAAAACTCCCTCAGGTGCTCAGTGTAAGGGGATTTCCCGAGGGTGGGACAGATGCTGGTTGGTAATGGGCCTGAATTTGCATTTAAATGTCCCACCTGGGTGGGGTTGAATCACCAAGGGAGGGGCTACTGCCTTTCCCCAGAGCCCTGGGAAGGACTAAGATGATCACTGTCCTGCGTGGCTGCAACTCAGCAAAAGCTCTGAGTCCCCTCCAAATCCCAAGTGTCCCCACACAGTTCCAGTTCAGTCCGCCCTCCCTCTACCGGAGCCCAAGGTGAGTGGCTGTGGCTATTTTAGCGTCTGTCCAGGCTCTGCGCTGTGGAGCTGCTTGGGAGTTTAACCCGAGGGCGCTGCTCACAGCTAAAGCCACTGCTGTCTGTGGGCTCCCAGCCCCCCTCTCGTGCCTCTGCAGTCCTACCAGGATGGAGTCAGTGTCCCTGGCTATATGGTCCTTGCAAGCTGCTTTTCTGTTGCTTTTTCCCGTTGATTTGTCTTTATTTTAGTGGTAATTCTGGTTTGGTCCTGGGAGACGGTCTGTGTAGCTTCCATTCACACTGATGCCCTTTTGGTATCTACCTGTTTCTATAGTCTTAAAGTATCTGCGCAATATATTAACGATATGCCAAGAAAAGAGTGGTTTTGCACAGAGACACCCCGCAGACACCACCCTTCGGGGATCAGGGTCTCATCACAGTCGGGAAAAGTAAGGTGGTGGACCTGCAGTGAAGGTCACGTCTCCATTGGAACGAACCACGCTCCAGGGCTCAGCGGCCACAGCGTACACACGGAACACCGCGAGCTTGGAGGCTACAAGAGCAGTGGGAGACAGCAGGGAGGAGCTCAGGGGGGCAGCGAGGGGGCAGGGCCACTAAGGGCAACTAAACAGGACGCAGAGGGCAGGAGCGAGGAGGCAGCCCTGCCCCGAGCTCCTCCGGAAGGTTGGGAGGGGCCGAGTGTGGATCCGGGTCAGCCACAAACACCTGATCATTGCAGCTGAAGCACAGGACCCACAGGACCCACAAGCTGCACACCTCTCTCTGCTCTGATGTCCACATATTTCCGTGGGGTGTGCTGAGGCAGGAAGACAAAGCATGTGATTTCAGGAAGGCCCATGAAACGGGGGGGGGCTCTGTCCCCACCGTGTCCTAGCTGGGGTGGTACTCTCCAGGCAGCGAATCCTCCCTTCCAGCATTGGCGCTGATGTAACCTGCTGCTTCGAGGCGGCTTCCACATGCCCTGGAACCTCCCCCACCATGGCTGCCTCCTCGTGGCATCGAGCACCCAGTGTCCACGGGCCCCTCCAGAGAGGGCCTGCTGGGCTCCCAGGGGACAGGCAGCAGGGACTGCTGGGTCCTGGGCTGCAACCAGGAAGCGCCCACCTGAGCGTGGACTTCAGAGAGGCCTCTGGCAGCTGAGGAGTGAAGTATGAGGGAGGCGCTAGAGTGAGGGGTATCTGGGACAACTCCTAGGGGCCCAGCCTGGGGACAGTGAAACCTCACAGTCTTGGGCAAGGGGCGGAAAAAGTGCCCAGGGCCCACCACAGCCTCCCTTGAAGAGACATGTCCTGATTCTGTGACAAAGACAGGATTACAATACTTGGACCTCACGATTTCCTCCCACCCAATCCAGTGTAATATAACACTAAGTAATTTGCTCCTCCCTCCCAGTATCCACCCAGATAAATAATTTTGAAACACCAGGAAACAGAAACTTTGAAAAATCAGAAATACCTTAGAGAGGGAGGGGCCCTGAGCACGGTCCCAGCATCGGCTCCCACACTGCTCAGGTCTCTGCTACAGGACCCTTCCACCTTCCTCACCTGGGACCACACCTGCTCCCCAAAGCCGAGGATGATTAAGGAGGAACATGAGGTCATCAACCTGGGGACACCCCAGAACTCAGGGCCCATGATGTCCACTGTGGTCAACATCCAGCCTGACACCGCAGTGCCCGACCACATCGTCTGGTCCCTGTTCAACACGATCTTCTTCAACACCTGCTGCCTGGGCTTCGTGGCCTTCGCCTACTCCGTGAAGGTGGGTGTGTGCGTGGGGGCTTCTCCAAATTGTGTGTCAGCCCCCAGTTAGGCAGCCCAGATGACTCTTAGAATTGGGGAGCCCGTGTGTGTGTGTGTGTGTGTGTGTGTGATGAGGCGGTCTGGGGTGCATGGGGATGGCTGGGTCAGCCTTGTCCTCAGGGCTCCAAGCAATCCCCTACTGACCACACCAGAAGTTACATTCCTCAGACTCCCCATGTGGCTCCAGGCTCTGTGGGGGTGAACAGAAGTGCTCTGCACACCCTGACCCTGATGGGGCCCGAGGCCAGCAGAGGGGCCAGGGCAGGGGAGAGGAGTCTGGGACCCCTGGAGAGGCTGAGTGTGAGGGAGGGGCCACCTGGCCCTGTCCTGCTCAGGCTCCGGGGAACAGGGAGGGGAGGGTCTCATATCTGGCTCAGCAGCAGTGGAGGCTGGTCTGGGCAGGGACCAGCCAGGGCGGACCTGGGTCTTAGCTCCTGGCTCTCCCCAGGACCGGCTCCAGATGCCCCTCACCATCTCTTCTCCCCCAGTCTAGGGACCGGAAGATGGTAGGAGACGTGATTGGGGCCCAGACCTATGGGTCCACCGCCAAGTGCCTGAACATCTGGGCCCTGGTCTCGGGCCTCCTGGTCATAATTGGCACAGTCGTCACAGTCATCGTTATTGTGGTCCTTCAGTGAATCGTCTTCCAGGAGGTTACTAGCAGCTGCCCACCGGAGGCTGTCACCCTTTCACAGCTGTTTAAACACCCGTGTCTACAATGGAACTCAATAAAGGACGTGTGTGGGACAAGGCTGTGTTTTTCCTGGGGAGGGGGTCCAGCTGAGAGTCCCAGGCTGTTCCTGAGACAGCCCACCCACACCACTGCCCCGGGCTATCCGTCCAGAGGTCAGGAAGGGCCGCTCCGCAGCCAGGAGCGGCCAGGACACCCTCCCGGTGGAGCACACCTGTCCTGCTCTCTGCCCCCCAGAAGCTCAGGACCCAGCCCGCGCGGTCAGGAGAGACATTTCCCTCTGGTCCCGCCTCCAGGTCCTCCTCCAGGTCTCACAGCAGGAAAAGCCAGAAGAGAACAGGCTGTCCCTAGGGCGCTGGGGGAAGAGCCCGCCTCCGTCACCCTCAGCCCGCCTCCTCCACCCCCCTCATTGCCCCACAGGAGAACCGACCCGCCCACCTCCCCCGCTCCAATCCGATCCCTTGCTCCCCCACATCCATCTACTCTCATTGACCACGCCCACCACCCGCGCCACGCCCTCCGGCTCTCCTGCCCACCAGCCCACCACCCAGCATGGGCCACCTTAGTACCACTGTGCCCACTGCCCTTTTGGTACCGACCAAGAGGAAATTGTCAGGGGATCTCCTCTGAGCAGCCCCGCACCCCGAGCTGTGGAAGTCCCCCTGGAGCCTCACCACACCGACCTCCTTCACGAGGCTCCGAACTTCCTGACCCGGCTTTCTGTCAACCACTCCTCCGTGGTGTCCATGGTAGTGCCTCCATCCAGATACCGTTCTCCCTCCCGCACCCACCGGGCTCCCAGGCCGCTCACACGGACCCATCGCCTCGGACCCTCCGTGCGCTGCAGGAGCTCTGTGGGCCACGCCGATGCTCAGGGTGCACAGGGGGTCCTGTTCATGATTGCGAGTGTGAGTGCTGTGTGGGGTGGCTCTGGGAACCCCTTGCGAAGTCAGGGAGGCAGCACCTTTGCCTTTGGCTGAGGTGGCCCCCCAAGATGAAATACATGCTCCATTGGCCTGCAGTTTGCCCAAGGCTAAGCTGGCGAGCGCCCTGCTGACCGTGATCTGCCTTCAGCCGCTCATGATTGTGGAAAGTGTAGACGCCACAGGGCTCCTGCCTCCCGTGGACACAGAGTAAAAGGGACTTGTGTGCTCAGGGACCACGGACGCTGCACCTTTACCTGCCACGTCCATGATTTTTAAGTTCCCGGGACATCCTGAACGTCACTCCTTGGACACTGGGCGAGATCACCATGTGACATGCTGCTAGGAATGCTGCCCGTAAGGAGCCAGCAGGTGTACATTGCCTCCTTGGCTGCAAGCCTCCTGGGGACCCTTAGATATTAGAAGATTCATGCTGTGTGGAGAGGGGTGGGGGAGAGGCTGGATGCCCCTGGGTTGGAGGGCATGGGCTGGGTCTGTGTCTGAAGGCATCTGTAACTCTCTCTGGCAGGCCAGAATCTTAGGAGATGTCCCAGGGGGGAGTTCAGCAGAACAGTCATCTTTTGAAGGTGTGTTGCTTAGGAGGAACTTTGGTAGCTGAGACAGGGCCCGAGTTTAGAGACCGGAACAGAAAGCCCCCACCCAGGCCCTCAGCCCTTGTGCAACATGACACTCCCAAAATCGTGACGCCCTCCAGGACCACAGCCAAAATATTTTTTTTTTTTCCTGAGGAAAACGAAACTAGCAAGGAAAGGGAACACCCAGGGAGGCTACTGGATCCCGGGAACTGGACAATTTCTCCTCTGCTTTCACACCATGAACCGCAGCTCCCAGCCCTTCTTCTCTGGCACACACACCAGAGCTCCTCCATCCTATGAGGTACTCAAAGAGGAACATGAAGTCTCCGTGCTGGGGGGTCCCCAGAGCTCGATGCAAGAGAGGACGACCGTGATCAACATCCAGCCTGAGACTGCAGTGCCCGACCACATCGTCTGGTCCCTGTTCAACACGCTCTTCTTCAACACCTGCTGCCTGGGCTTCGTGGCTTTCGCCTACTCCGTGAAGGTGGGTGTGTGCGTGGGGGCTTCTCCAAATTGCGTGTGAGCCCGCAGAGGACTCCAGCCCAGAAGCACTTGGGATTGGGGAGCCAAGGCTTGTGTGTGTTGGTGGGGGTGGGAGAGGCAGGTTATTATGAGGTGGTCTGGGGTGCATGGGGATGGCTGGGTCACCCTTGTCCTCAGGACTCCAAGCGATTCCCTACTGACCACACCAGAAGTTACATTCCTCAGACTCCCCATGTGGCTCCAGGCTCTGTGGGGTAGAACAGAGTGCTCTGCACACCCTGACCCTGATGGGGCCCGAGGCCAGCAGAGGGGCCAGGGCAGGGGAGAGGAGTCTGGGACCCCTGGAGAGGCTGAGTGTGAGGGAGGGGCCACCTGGCCCTGTCCTGCTCAGGCTCTGGGGAACAGGGAGGGGAAGGTCTCATATCTGGCTCAGCAGCAGTGGAGGCTGGTCTGGGCAGGGACCAGCCAGGGCGGTCCTGGGTCTTAGCTCCTGGCTCTCCCCAGGACCGGCTCCAGATGCCCCTCACCATCTCTTCTCCCCCAGTCTAGGGACCGGAAGATGGTGGGAGACGTGATTGGGGCCCAGACCTATGGGTCCACCGCCAAGTGCCTGAACATCTGGGCCCTGGTCTTGGGCCTCCTGGTCATAATTGGCACAGTCATCACAGTCATCGTTATTGTGGTCACTTCAGTGAATCGCCTTCCAGGAGGTTACTAGCAGCTGCCCACCGGAGGCTGTCACCCTTTCACAGCTGTTTAAACACCCGTGTCTACAATGGAACTCAATAAAGGACGTGTGTGGGACAAGGCTGTGTTTTTCCTGGGGAGGGGGTCCAGCTGAGAGTCCCAGGCTGTTCCTGAGACAGCCCACCCACACCACTGCCCCGGGCTATCCGTCCAGAGGTCAGGAAGGGCCGGTCCGCAGCCAGGAGCGGCCAGGACACCCTCCCGGGTTGCTGTCTGTACCCCCGAAGCTCAGGACCCGGCCCGCGCGGTCAGGAGAGGCATTTCCCCCTGGTCCCGCCTCCAGGTCCTCCTCCAGGTCTCAGTGCAGGAGAAGCCAGAAGGGAACACGCTGTTGCTAGGGTGCTGGGGGAAGAGCCCGCCTCCTCCTCCCCCCTCATTGCCCCACAGAAGAACAGACACGCCCGCCTCCCCCCCCACCCGCCCCACCCGTCGCCCCTCATTGGGAAACGCGCCAACGGGCCACGCCCACAAACTCGGCCACGCCCACCACCAGTCAGCCCACAGGTCCCACCTGCCAGCTTGTGGGCCCTTTCGCAGGCCCTACCTGTTCACCTCCTGAGCTGCCCGCCACCCTCCCCGCCCACCACCCAGCATGGGCCACCTTAGAGCCACTGTGCCCACTGCCCTTTTGGTACCGACCAAGAGAAAATTGTTAGGGGATCCCCTCTGAGCAGCCCCGCACCCCGAGCTGTGGAAGTCCTCCTGGAGCCTCACCACACCGACCTCCTTCACGAGGCTCCGAACTTCCTGACCCGGCTTTCTGTCAACCACTCCTCCGTGGTGTCCATGGTAGTGCCTCCATCAGCTACCGTTCTCCCTCCCGCACCCACCGGGCTCCCAGGACGCTCACACGGACCCATCGCCACGGACCCTCCGTGCGCTGCAGGAGCTCTGTGGGCCACGCCGATGCTCAGGGTGCACAGGGGGTCCTGTTCATGATTGCGAGTGTGAGTGCTGTGTGGGGTGGCTCTGGGAACCCCTTGCGAAGTCAGGGAGGCAGCACCTTTGCCTTTGGCTAAGGTGGCCCCCCAAGATGAAATACATGCTCCATGGGGCTGCAGTTTGCCCAAGGGCTGAGCTGGCGAGCGCCCTGCTGACCATGATCTTCCTTCAGTCGCTCATGATTGTGGAAAGTGTAGACGCCACAGGGCTCCTGCCTCCCGGGGACACAGAGTAAAAGGGACTTGTGTGCTCAGGGACCACGGACGCTGCACCTTTACCTGCCACGTCCACGATTTTTAAGGTCCTGGGACATCCTGAACGCCACTCCCTGGACACTGGGCGAGATCACCATGTGACATGGTGCTAGGAATGCTGCCCGTAAGGAGCCAGCAGCTGTCCCACCTCTGTCATCGGCCAGAGGGTACATCTCCAGAGGATAATCTAGTAAACTGTGCAGAGGCCCCAAGATCTGGCTCCACAAAGCAAAACCAGGTTTTAACTCCAGTTGCTGGTGTGATGAAAACAGAAACCTGTGCTTCAGACCAAGTCACGACCCCATCGACCCGGAGACTCCAGGTGTCCATCCTGACTACTGTCTGAGCACTGACCACAGTGCACGACGGGAGAGGGTCCGAGAGTTAGCAGTGGGGGGACAGAGTAACAAGGCCGGGTAAAAGCACTGACCTCACCACCCACCTGTGCAAAGTACATCTCAGGGAAGCCGGTGCACTCGGCCCTGGACATTGCAGATCGCCTCACGGACCACTGGAGGTCTGGCAGATAGATTTCACCCAGGTCCCCGCCTCATGGACATCGATGTCATTTAGTCATGGTTGGCATGTGCCCTCACTGGAAGGAATCTTTTCCTGTGGACGGGTGATGGCCTCTTCTGTGGCTGAAGTTCTGTCAGAGAGATTATCCCACCGGGGAACCCTCGGGAACAGCATAGGGATCCAGGACCCCATGTTACTGGTCAGGTGCTCACCAGGTGTGTGCTGTTTGGGCAAGTTACCTTGTCACTGCACTAACTGTTAGTGGAAAGGGCTCCTGGCCCTAACGGGTCAGCCTAGGGCCCGTCAGTAGTAAGTGGGTTCTTGACTTCGTGCAGAAAGTAGTTTATATCACAAGTCCAGGTGAATTTTAAAGGATATTTAGTAACGTGGGGAGAGTAGTGTGCCTGGTGTGACTAAGTGTACGAGAATCTCCCATAGACTGAGAAGTATGAGTTTGGTTCCTGGTCAGGGCACATGGATGGGTTACCGGCTGGGTTCCCAATAGGGGGTGTGGCAGAAGCAGTTGATAGATGTTTCTCTCCATATAGATGTGTCTATCTCTCCCTCCCACTCTCTCTAAAAATTAATAAAACACACTATTTTAAAAATGTTTTTGGACCTTGGCTCGTTTGGCTCAGCGGTTAGAGCATCAGCTTGTGGTCCAGAGAGACCCGGGTCGGTTCTCACTAAGGGTACGTACTCTGTTGCAGTTTGTCCCTGGCCCTCTTTGGGTTGTGTGGGAGGCAGCCACTCCATGTGTAGCGTTTACATCGATGTTTCTCTCTCTCTCTCTTCCTCCTACTCTATGTGAACAAAAAATGAAAAAATGTCCTCGGGTAAGCATTAAAAAAAAAAAGTTTTTGCCCTTGCTAGTTTGGCTCAGTAATTAGAGCGTTGGCCCACTGCCCAGAGAGGCCTGGGTTCGGTTCCCGCTAAGGGCACGAACCTCGGTTCCAGTTCAAATGGTCCCAGTAAGGGTCGTGTGGGTAGCAACTAGTCCATTTGTCTCTCTCCCATCGATGTTTCTCTCTCTCTCTTCCTCCCTCTCTTCATCCCGCTCTCTCTGAAGATACATGCAAAAAAAAATGTGCTTGGGTGAGCATTAAAAAAATGTTTTAAAAATAAAACTGAAACCAGAAAAAGCTGGGGAAATGAGGCTAGGGTCATCTGCTTTGGCTCAGTAAGAGGTCAGAGAAAAAGCCTGGGGTCAGTTTCATGGGGAGTGTCTGGGATAACTGGCAGCTGTACATTGCCTCCTTGGTTGCAAGCCTCCTGGGGACCCTTAGATTTTAGAAGATTCATGCTGTGTGGAGAAAGGTGGGGGAGGTGCTGGATGCCCCTGGGTTGGAGGGTATGGGCTGGGTCTGTGTCTGAAGGCATCTGTAACTCTCTTTTCCAGGCCAGAATCTTAGGAGAGGTCCCAGGGGAGAGTTCAGCAGAACAGTCATGTTTGTAGGTGTGTTGCTTCAGGAGGGACTTGGGTAGCTGGACAAGGCCTGAGTAGAGAGACAGAGACAGGAAGCCCCCACCCAGGCCCTCAGCCCTCCTCTGCTGGGCTTCTGTGCAACTTGACTCTCCCACAATCGTGACGCACTCCAGGACCACAGCCAAAATAAAACCTTTGAGGAAAATGAAACTAACAAGGAAAGGGAGCACCCAACTCGATCCCGGGATCTGCACAACTTCTCCTCTGCTTTCACACCATGGACCACAGCTCCCAGCCCTTCTTCTCTGGCACCCACACCAGAGAACCTGCATCGTTTGAGGTGCTCAAAGAGGAACATGAGGTGTCCGTGCTGGGGGGTCCCCAGAGCTCGATGCAAGAGAGGACGACCGTGATCAACATCCAGCCTGAGACTGCAGTGCCCGACCACATCGTCTGGTCCCTGTTCAACACGATCTTCTTCAACACCTGCTGCCTGGGCTTCGTGGCCTTCGCCTACTCCGTGAAGGTGGGTGTGTGCGTGGGGGCTTCTCCAAATTGCGTGTGAGCCCGCAGAGGACTCCAGCCCAGAAGCACTTGGGATTGGGGAGCCAAGGCTTGTGTGTGTTGGTGGGGGTGGGAGAGGCAGGTTATTATGAGGCGGTCTGAGGTGCATGGGGATGGCTCAGTCAGTCTTGTCCTCTGGGCTCCAAGCAATTCCCTACTGACCACACCAGAAGTTACATTCCTCAGACTCCCCATGTGGCTCCAGGCTCTGTGGGGTAGAACAGAGTGCTCTGCACACCCTGATGGGGCCCGAGGCCAGCAGAGGGGCCAGGGCAGGGGAGAGGAGTCTGGGACCCCTGGAGAGGCTGAGTGTGAGGGAGGGGCCACCTGGCCCTGTCCTGCTCAGGCTCCGGGGAACAGGGAGGGGAGGGTCTCATATCTGGCTCAGCAGCAGTGGAGGCTGGTCAGGGCAGGGACCAGCCAGGGCGGACCTGGGTCTTAGCTCCTGGCTCTCCCCAGGACCGGCTCCAGATGCCCCTCACCATCTCTTCTCCCCCAGTCTAGGGACCGGAAGATGGTGGGAGACGTGATTGGGGCCCAGACCTATGGGTCCACCGCCAAGTGCCTGAACATCTGGGCCCTGGTCTTGAACCTCCTGGTCATAATTGGCACAGTCGTCACAGTCATCGTTATTGTGGTCACTTCAGTGTATCGCTTTCCCGGAGGTTACTAGCAGCTGCCCACCGGAGGCTGTCACCCTTTCACAGCTGTTTAAACACCCGTGTCTACAATGGAACTCAATAAAGGACGTGTGTGGGACAAGGCTGTGTTTTTCCTGGGGAGGGGGTCCAGCTGAGAGTCCCAGGCTGCCCCTGAGACAGCCCACCCACACCACTGCCCCGGGCTATCCGTCCAGAGGTCAGGAAGGGCCGCTCCGCAGCCAGGAGCGGCCAGGACACCCTCCCGGCGGAGCACATCTGTCCTGTTCTCTGCTCCCCTGAAGCTCAGGACCCGGCCCGCGCAGTCAGGAGAGGCATTTCCCCCTGGTCCCGCCTCCAGGTCCTCCTCCAGGTCTCACTGCAGGAAAAGCCAGAAGAGAACAGGTAGTTCCTAGGGCGCTGGGGGAAGAGCCCGCCTCCGCCTCCGTCACCCTCAGCCCGCCTCCTCCACCCCCCTCATTGCCCCACAGGAGAACCGACACCCCCCTCCAATCCGATCCCTTGCTCCCCCCTTGCTCCCCCCATCCATCTACTCCCATTGACCACGACCACCACCCGCGCCACGCCCTCCGGCTCTCCTGCCCACCAGCCCACCACCCAGCATGGTCCACCTTAGAGCCACTGTGCCCACTGCCCTTTTGGTACCGACCTAGAGAAAATTGTTAGGGGATCCCCTATGAGCAGCCCTGCACCCCAAGTTGTGGAAGTCCTCCTGGAGCCTCACCACACCGACCTCCTTCATGAGGCACCGAACACCCTCCATGCGCTGCAGGAGCTCTGTGGGCGACGCCGATCTTCAGGGTTCACAGGGGGTCCTGTTCACGGAATAAGAGTGTGAGTGCCTGAACTGGGCTATTTTAATAATCAAACTTCATTCTGCTCAGTTATTCCTGCACGTAAACACCCGAGCAGTTTTCTAAAAAACCTGGGACCTGACACCCAGAGGAACCATAAAGATAAGGGGTTAATGAAGGCCTTGGGAAACTTGGAGGGACCATAAAATGAAAGAGATTAATGAGCCAGGAGGAATGTATTTTTGTTTTCTTTGAATGTAGCTTTTTCTTTTCTAAATGTATCTTTTTTCCCCTGTATTTTGTTCCTATATAAGCAATGAACAAAGGAAACTTGGGGCTGTCGATTTGGGGAGAACCCCCCTTCAGCCCGCCGGTGTAATAAAGTGCTCCTTTACAATTCAATTGTACATCTCTGGTTATGTCGCTGACAGTTACAATATGCTGTGTGGTGTGGGCCCTGGGAACCCCTTGGGAAGTCAGGGAGGCAGCACCTTTGCCTTTGGCTAAGTCGGCCCAGCAAGATGAAATATATTCTTGATTGGGCTGTAGTTTGAACAAGGGCTAAACTGCCCAGCTTCCTGCTGACAGTGATCTGCCCTTGAAGTTGCTCATGACTGTGGAAAGCTGTAGAAGCCACAGGTAGAAACAGTAAAAGTGACCTGTGTGCTCAGGGACCACTGATGCTGTACCTTTACCTGTCAAGTCAACAATTTTTAAGGTACCAGGACATTCTGAACGTCACTCCTTGGACACTGTGCAAGATCACGGTGTGACATTCGGCTAGGAATGCTGCCCGTAAGGAGCCAGCAGCTGTCCCACCTCTGTCATCGGCCAGAGGGTACATCTCCAGAGGATAATCTAGTAAACTGTGCGGAGGGGCCAAGAGCGGGTCCAGGAAGGAAACATCAGTTGGAACTCCAGTTGTTGATGTGATGAAAATAGAAAGCTGTGCTTCAGACCAAGTCACAACCCTGTCCTGGAGACTCCAGGTTTTCATCCGGACTACTGCCGTCTCTCAGCCTGCCGGGATCGGTGCAATGCAATGAACTACAAGCACACGCTGCTTGGAGTGAGAGGGAGCTTTGCAAGGGAGCAAATGCTCCAGATCTTTGGATGCAGTTTCATTTATTGCATATTAGTTCCCTCAGGCTACAAGTGGATTTATGTAAATTATTTCCTTGAGATGGCATCTCTTCAAACTATACAGCCTAGCCTTGTCTCTTGCTTCTTAGGGCGGAAGAGACTTTAAAGCTTACAAACCCAGACATACTTGAGTCCTATGACCCATTGGTCCCCTGGAGGCAGTGTTCCAGCCACAGTCATGCAAATCTTATCTTATTCACATGCAAATGAAGCATGCAATCCAGCAAGGCAGTCTTCCTGCCTATTAGTCAAACCTGTCTGTCCACACACACACTTTGATCCTAGGCTGATCAGGTTGTGAGAATGCATTATCACAAGGTTACAAATTGGCCATTTACCAACCCCCCATTCCCACAACTACTGCCTGTGCATTGACCACAGTCCACAACAGCAGAGGGTCTGAGAGTCAGCAGTGGGGGGACAGAGTAACAAGGCCGTGCAAAAGCACTGACCTCACCACCCACCTGTGCAAAGTACATCCCAGGGAAGCCGGTGCACTCGGCCCTGGACATTGCAGATCGCCTCACGGACCACTGGAGGTCTGGCAGATCGATTTCACACAGGTCCGTGTCTCATGGACATAGATGTCATTTAGTCATGGTTGGCATGTGCCCTCACTGGACGGAACCTTTTCCTGTGGACAGGTGATGGCCTCTTCTGTGGCTGAAGTTCTGTCAGAGAGATTATCCCACCGGGGAACCCTCGGGAACAGCATAGGGATCCAGGACCCCATGTTACTGGTCAGGTGCTCACCAGGTCTGTGCTGTTTGGGCAAGTTACCTTGTCACTGCACTAACTGTTAGGAGGACTCCTGGCCCTAACGGGTCAGCCTAGGGCCCGTCAGTAGTAAGTGGGTTCTTGATTCGTGCAGAAAATAGTTTATATCACAAGTCCAGGTGATTTTTAAAGGATATTTATTACAGTGGGGAGAGTTGCCCGGGATGTGTGGCTCAGTGTATGAGCGTCTTCCATAGTCTGAGAAGGGTTTGATTTCTGGTCAGGGCACATGGATGGGTTGCCGGCTTGATCCCCAGTAGGGGGCGTGCCAGGAGCAGCTGATAGTTCTCTATAGGGATGTTTCTATCTCTCCCTTCAATTCTCTCTAAAACTAATAAAACCTATTATTTAAAAAGAGTTTTTGAAATAAAACTGAAACCAGAAAAAGCTGGGGAAGTGAGGCTAGGGTCATCTGCTTTGGCTCAGTAAGAGGTCAGAGAAAAAGCCCGGGGTCAGTTTCATGGGGAGTGTCTGGGATAACTGGCAGCTGTACATCGCCTCCTTGGTTGCAAGCCTCCTGGGGACCCTTAGATTTTAGAAGATTCATGCTGTGTGGAGAGGGGAGGGGGAGGTGCTGGATGCCCCTGGGTTGGAGGGCATGGGCTGGGTCTGTGTCTGAAGGCATCTGTAACTCTCTTTTCCAGGCCAGAATCTTAGGAGAGGTCCCAGGGGAGAGTTCAGCAGAACAGTCATGTTTGTAGGTGTGTTGCTTCAGGAGGGACTTGGGTAGCTGGACAAGGCCTGAGTAGAGAGACAGAGACAGGAAGACCCCACCCAGGCCCTCAGCCCTCCTCTGCTGGGCTTCTGTGCAACTTGACTCTCCCACAATCGTGACGCACTCCAGGACCACAGCCAAAATAAAACCTTTGAGGAAAATGAAACTAACAAGGAAAGGGAGCATCCAACTCGATCCCGGGATCTGCACAATTTCTCCTCTGCTTTCACACCATGGACCACAACTGCCAGCCCTTCTTCTCTGGCGCCCACACCAGAGAACCTGCATCGTATGAGGTGCTCAAGGAGGAACATGAGGTGTCTGTGCTGGGGGGTCCCCAGAGCTCGAGGCAAGAGAGGACGACCGTGATCAACATCCAGCCTGAGACTGCAGTGCCCGACCACATCGTCTGGTCCCTGTTCAACACGATCTTCTTCAACACCTGCTGCCTGGGCTTCGTGGCCTTCGCCTACTCCGTGAAGGTGGGTGTGTGCGTGGGGGCTTCTCCAAATTGCGTGTTAGCCCGCAGAGGACTCCAGAGGCACTTGGGATTGGGGAGCCAAGGCTTGTGTGTGTTGGTGGGGGTGGGAGAGGCAGGTTCTTATGAGGCGGTCTGAGGTGCATGGGGATGGCTGGGCTCCAAGCAATTCCCTACTGACCACACCAGAAGTTACATTCCTCAGACTCCCCATGTGGCTCCAGGCTCTGTGGGGTAGAACAGAGTGCTCTGCACACCCTGACCCTGATGGGGCCCGAGGCCAGCAGAGGGGCCAGGGCAGGGGAGAGGAGTCTGGGACCCCTGGAGAGGCTGAGTGTGAGGGAGGGGCCACCTGGCCCTGTCCTGCTCATTCTCCGGGGAACAGGGAGGGGAGGGTCTCATATCTGGCTCAGCAGCAGTGGAGGCTGGTCTGGGCAGGGACCAGCCAGGGCGGTCCTGGGTCTTAGCTCCTGGCTCTCCCCAGGACCGGCTCCAGATGCCCCTCACCATCTCTTCTCCCCCAGTCTAGGGACCGGAAGATGGTGGGAGACGTGATTGGGGCCCAGACCTATGGATCCACCGCCAAGTGCCTGAACATCTGGGCCCTGGTCTTGGGCCTCCTGGTCATAATTGGCACAGTCATCACAGTCATCGTTATTGTGGTCCTTTAGTGAATCGCCTTCCAGGAGGTTACTAGCAGCTGCCCACCGGAGGCTGTCACCCTTTCACAGCTGTTTAAACACCCGTGTCTACAATGGAACTCAATAAAGGACGTGTGTGGGACAAGGCTGTGTTTTTCCTGGGGAGGGGGTCCAGCTGAGAGTCCCAGGCTGCCCCTGAGACAGCCCACCCACACCACTGCCCCGGGCTATCCGTCCAGAGGTCAGGAAGGGCCGGTCCGCAGCCAGGAGCGGCCAGGACACCCTCCTGGTGGAGCACATCTGCCCTGCTCTCTGTCCCCCGAAGCTCAGGACCCGGCCCGCGCTGGGCGGTCAGGAGAGGCATTTCCCCCTGGTCCCGCCTCCCGGTCCTCCTCCAGGTCTCACTGCAGGAAAAGCCAGAAGAGAACAGGTTGTCCCTAGGGTGCTGGGGGAAGAGCCCGCCTAGGTCACCCTCAGCCTGCCTCCTCCTCCCCCCTCATTGCCCCACAGAAGAACCGACCCGCCCACCTGCCCCCTCCTCCTTCGCTCCCCCCATCAGGCGCCTCTCATTCGGAAACCCGCCCGTCCGGCCACGCCCAGAAACTCGGTCACGCCCACCGGCCCTCCTCCGGGTCTCTCTCCAGGAAAAGCCAGAGAACATGCTCTCCCGAGGGCGCTGGGGCAGCTCTAGTCAGGCCTGAGCAGAACAACCCACCTGGCTCCTCCCACCTCTTTGCCCGCCCCCCGACCAAACTTGATTGGGCCCATACTTTCCATCCGTCTCCGTATGGGCACTCTGCGCCATCCCATCCCTCCCATTTGTCTCTTGGCCTACACTGGACCACTGGTGCCCACCATATGGCCACACCCACCAGCTCTGCTCCTGCTCTTCTGCCCACCAGCTGTTTGCCCACTGGTGCCACAGGCCTGTTTCTCGGCCCCTCTCCCCATACCCTGCTGCCCACTGCACAACTCTGCCAGACCACCACCACACTCACCACCCAGTCCTCTCCACCTTAGAGCCTTTATGATCACTGCCCTTTTGGTACCGACTACAGAGGAAATTGTTCAAGGACCCCAGGCCCTCCTGGATTCTCAACACACCTTGGCCTTCAGTGAGGCACCATACTTGCTGACAGGGCCTCTGTCAACTACTCCTCACACGACACTCTGAATGGTAGTGCCTCCATCCAGTCACCCTTCTCTCCTCCCACACCCACGCGGCTCCTAGGCTGCTTCACAGGGACCCATCGCCCACAGCTGGCTGCATTATATGCTCCATTGGCTGTAGTTTGACCAAGGGCTAAACTTGCCCAGCTCCCTGCTGACAGTGATCTGCCTTCAGTCGCTCATGATTGTGGAAAGCTGTAGACGCCACAGGGCTCCTGCCTCCCGTGGACACAGAGTAAAAGGGACTTGTGTGCTCAGGGACCACGGACGCTGCACCTTTACCTGCCACGTCCACGATTTTTAAGGTCCCGGGACATCCTGAACGCCACTCCCTGGACACTGGGCGAGATCACCATGTGACATGGTGCTAGGAATGCTGCCCGTAAGGAGCCAGCAGCTGTCCCACCTCTGTCATCGGCCAGAGGGTACATCTCCAGAGGATAATCTAGTAAACTGTGCAGAGGCCCCAAGACCTGGCTCCAGAAAGGAAAACAAGAATTTAACTCCAGTTGGTGGTGTGATGAAAACAGAAACCTGTGCTTCAGACCAAGTCACAACCCCATCGACCCGGAGACTCCAGGTGTCCATCCTGACTACTGTCTGAGCACTGACCACAGTCCACGACGGGAGAGGGTCCGAGAGTCAGCAGTGGGGGGACAGAGTAACAAGGCCGGGTAAAAGCACTGACCTCACCACCCACCTGTGCAAAGTACATCTCAGGGAAGCCGGTGCACTCGGCCCTGGACATTGCAGATCGCCTCACGGACCACTGGAGGTCTGGCAGATCGATTTCACACAGGTCCCCGTCTCATGGACATCGATGTCATTTAGTCATGGTTGGCATGTGCCCTCACTGGAAGGAATCTTTTCCTGTGGACAGGTGATGGCCTCTTCTGTGGCTGAAGTTCTGTTAGAGAGATTATCCCACCGGGAAACCCTTGGGAACCGCATAGGGGTCCAGGACCCCATGTTACTGGTCAGGTGCTCACCAGGTCTGTGCTGTTTGGGTAATTTTACCTTGTCACTGCATTCCCCCGTCAGTTCTCAGGTGTAGGCGAATGCACTAAGCGTATTATTGAGGTTCAGGTGGCAAAATTTATACAGACCCTCCAAACTCCGTGGCCCAAATCTCAGATCCAGCCCTTCTGGGCCCATGAGTTCTCGCCCTTTGAGTTAATTACAGGACGCCCCGTGCATCCGCCTCCGGCTCCTTTCCATCCAGTCGATGTCAGGAAACACTTATTGTTGTCGCGGCCTCGCTACTCCTACTGAAAAGAACACGCTCTGGTCGAGCAGTCTGGCGCTGGCCTCAGAGAGTGGAAACTGTCAACCCGGGGACTCCTTATGCGGAGCACACCCGGGCCGGCCGGGTGCTGTGGACCCACCCTGTGCTGCTGAACCCCAGGGACCCCGCTCCTCGGTGCACGTGTCATATTGCAAGAAGGCCCCAGACCCTGATTGGAGCCGCACATGGTCTGAACATCCTTGCAGGAGCACATCTGTCCTGCTCTCTGCACTCGCCACGCCTCAGGACGTGACCCGCGCTGGCCATGGTCTGGCTGTCATCTCCCCCTCGTCCTACCTCCCGGTGGGCCTTCAGGTCTCAGTCCAGGCAAAGCTCAGAGTACAGGCTTTCTTGAGGGCGGCTGGAAAAACACCTGTTAGGCCCCCACCTCTCCGTGAGTCCTCGCCCCTCCCACTTCAGAGCCACGCCCACCTGGTCGACCCGCCCACACGACCCGGCCCACGGACTCGGCGCTCCGCCCAGCCCGGCCCCGCCCTCCCGGGGGTCCCTAGGCATTCGGCCACGCCCACACCGTTCTCCCCACGGCCCACTGGCTCCCCGCCTTTTCCGGCCAGGATTTCCCGCTCATCAGCCTGCTCCTCGCTAGCCAATCCGGTGGTCCGCCGCCACAGGCCACACCTGCTTTTGGCTCCCAGCCATTCCCGGCCACGCCCCGCCGGCAAGGCCCCGCCCTCCTACCCTGCAGCTCGGAGCACGACTCTCTCAACCTTGCTCAGGCAGGCCTCCAGCCCCCCTTTTTGCAACCCCCACGTTGGTGACTGGGGGCGCCTGGTCCACTCACACCCCAGCCGGAGCTGCTGGTGCGGTTCCCGGGGCTCAGGGTGCTCAATGCTGATCTTCGCGCGCCCGGCGGTCAGCACCCAGGACTTTCCAACTGGCCTGCACTTGCGTCTGCGAGAAGCCTCTGCGTCCATGTACATTTTCCAGAACCCGAGATCCTTTGCTGTCTGCACGAGAGGGTCTCCCACCTAGCAGCACCTTCGTCCCAAGTTACAGTGCTGAGCCCCCTTCCTAAACGCTGTCCGGCAGGGATGTAACACCCGCCCTGCGCACCGGGGCTGGGGTCGTGGTCACCTGGCCGCACCACTTCGCCTGTCCCGCCCAGAACAAATCCTTCCCCAACCAAGAGGAGCGGATCTGCCAGCCTCCTGTCCTGCGGGACCATCTTCCCTGGGCCTGAGCCCCTCCTGCTCTGACGTGGGACCCCCAGGAACAGGGCTGCTCTTGTGCAAGGCATCGCCCGCCACAGACAAAGCACAACTCTCCTTTGGCCCAGGAGTTAGGGTGCTGCAGGGGTCGTCATAAAGGAGGTGGGGGGAGTTGAATTGTCAACCCTCCTGGGTGCCAGGACTGGACGGAGAACCCAGCAGGAAGAGCTGTCACCACAGACCAGAGCCAGCAGGACCGACCTCACCCACAGCTGGACCAGGCAGCCCAGCTCCCCCAAGGGCAAGGCTGGTGTAGAGATGGTTCACCTCCCGGACAGCAGCCTGTGGCCACCTGCACTTCTCCAGCCTCTCCAGGGTGACAGTGCAGGGCACGAGGGGTCAAGCTGAGGAAGGCCCATCCCCATGTGCATCTCGGGCCCTGGCACAGGCTCACCCCCAAAGCCTGCGGGTGCGCAGCAGCTGGGGGCCCCTTCCTGGGCACTGGCAGCGGCTCCAGGCAGCCCGGAATCAGGGAGGCTTGTCCTTTGGGCCAGAGCCCTTGGCTCAGGGCTCAGACATTGAGAAGGAGAGACCCCCCTCCTAGAACCCTGGTCCAGCTGTTGGTCCCACAGGGAGGCCAGAAACCAGGAACATCTGAGAAATTGTCGGGCCCCACTCAGAGCAGCAAGCAGGTGGACAAGGAAGGAGGCGGGCTGTCTCAGGGACAGGCTGGGGCTGGGCAGTGCCCCTGCCCAAGAAATGTCTCCGTTGTCACACACGGGAGCACTTTATTGACTTCAGTTGCAGACAGGTGTGTCTGTACAAAGAGCTGAATAAATGGGTGTGTGCCTGGGGCGGGGCAGCAGTGGGTGGGGAGGACTTGGTCACCTGCCCGGGACAATGACTAGTAGTTGCCTACTTCAGGCGTCTGGGCTTTCTCGATTAAAGCGATGATTATCGGCATCAGAAACACCAGAAGAACGATAAATCCGATGCTCACAAGGAGGCCCAAGACCAGGGCCCAGATGTTCAGGCACTTGGCGGTGGATGCGTAGCTCTGGGCCCCAATCACGTCTCCCACCATCTTCCGGTCCCTAGACTGGGGGAGAAGAGATGGTGAGGGGGGCCTGGAGCCGGTCCTGGGGAGAGCCAGGAGCTATGACCCAGGTCCTCCCTGGCTGGTCCCTGCCCAGACCAGCCTCCACCCACCCTCAGCCAGATCAGGGACCCTCCCCTCCCTGTTCCCTGGAGCCTGAGCAGGACAGGGCCAGGTGGCCCCTCCCTCAGGCTCTCAGCCTCTCCAGGGTCCCAGGGCTCCTCTCCCCCCTGCCCTGGCCCCTCTGCTGGCCTCTGGCCCCACCAGTGATCAGGGTTTCAGAGTCTCTGATCTTTTTTTTTTTTTTTTCCTAAATGCTATGCCACATGCCAGCATATAAAAAATATGTTCCTGCCCAACCGGTGTGTGGTTGAGTGTCGACCCATGCACCAAAAGGTCACCGGTTGGATTCCTGGTCAGGGCACATGCCCAGGTTGTGGGCCCGATCCCCAGTGGGGGCCAGGCAGGAGGCGGCCAATCGATGTTCTCTCTCATCGATGTTTCTCTCTCTCTCTCTCCCTTCCTCTCTAAAAACTAATAGAGAAAAAATATGTTCTTAATGATTTCAGAGACAGAGAGAGACACTGATGTGAGAAACACCTACTGGCTGCCTCCGGCAGGCCCCCTACTAGGAGCTAAACTGGAAACCAGGCAGGTACGTTGAGTAGGAATCCAGCTGGTGACCTCCCAGTGCATAGGAGGTTGCCCAGCCCTCTGAGGCACGTTGCTCTGTGTTCTTTCTGACAGAGCCTTGGGGCCACGTGGTGAGTCTGAGGAATGTAATCTCTGCTGTGGTCAGTAAGGGCCACCTGAAGTCCTGGGGGCCAAGGCTCACCTGCCATCCCCAGACACCCCGTGCACCCTCATCATGACCAGCACACACACATGCACACACACCATGGCTCCCCAATCCCAAGGGTGATCTGGGCAGGAGACCCCTGGGGGCTCCCACACACTTTCTGGAGAAACTCCTCCACACACCCACCTTCACGGAGTAGGCGAAAGCCACGAAGCCCAGGCAGCAGGTGTTGAAGAAGAGCGCGTTGAACAGGGACCAGACGATGTGGTCAGGCACCGCGGTCTCATTCTGGATGTTGACCACGGTGGACATCACGGGCCTTGAGTTCTGGGGAGCCCCCAGGAAGGCCACCTCGTGTTCCTCCTTGATCATCTCTGGCTCCGGGTGAGGTCGCGGGCGAGGATAGTGGAAGGGTCCTGCGGCAGAGACCTGAGCAGTGTGGGAGCCGAGGCTGGGACAGTGCTCAGGGCCCCTCCCTCTCTAGGACAGTTCTCATTTCTCAGAGTTTCTGTTTCCTGAGTTGTTCAGCAGTGATCGTTTGGCTGGTATGTGAAGAGTGGAAAAAACCAGGACTGTCAGATGACAGAAACTGTGTGGTAGGGAAGCCTGTGGTCTAACTGCGTTTCCTGTCCCTGTTGTTCATTTCAGCTGCGTGAGGGCTGAGGGCTTTCCAGCCTGGAGCCCACCGTCCACCCAGCCCGCGTGTCTCACTGTCCCCGTACAGGGCCCCTGCCAGTTGTCACCTGACCTGACACTCAGCCCCAGGAGGAGCCCCCAGCCCAGCCCACTCCTCAGCTGTCAGAGGCCTCTCTGAAGTCCACGCTCAGGTGGGCGCTTCCTGGTTGCAGCCCAGGACCCAGCAGTCCCTGCTGCCTGTCCCCTGGGAGCCCAGCAGGCCCTCTCTGGAGGGGCCCGTGGACACTGGGTGCTCGATGCCACGAGGAGGCAGCTGTGGTGGGGGAGGTTCCAGGGCATGTGGAAGCCGCCTCGAAGCTCAGGGCAGCAGACTGCGTGAGCCCCTTTCTTCTCCCTCCTGCTGTCCCCATCATTTCAAGGTGTTGTTAGGGGTCACGGGCCGAGCTGCAGGTGCACAGGAGGACTCCTGTCCCCGGGCCCCTTCTCCGGAGGAGGATCCGGGCGCCCGAGGAGCCAGGGCTCAGCCCTGTCAGGACTGAAGGGTCAGGCTGTGCTGGTTGCCATGTGCAGTCTTACCTGAGTGGGCGAGGGTGTGGGAGGCCTTTGGTCCAGGTCTGGACTGTCCCTCAAGACCCATGGCCTTCACCCCGGCGGCCCAGCTGGCTCAAGGCGCCAGACCAGCCTCCCGGTGCCCCGCCGTGGCTTCCAAGCGGCCCGGAGGTCTGGGTCTCCGGTGCCAGGGTCTCTTGGCAGCTTTCCAGATTCTCATCATGTGAATGTCTCCCTGGTCCCTCACAGGACACCAGCTGCTTCCTGAAGGCGTCACCTGTCGCCCGTCTCTATGGGAAATCGTCCTGTTGAAACAGCGGGTGTGGCTCTGTGCTCCTCTGGACCCCACTGACCAGCGGCCGTCCTGACCGAATGAGCTGACGGCCCTGGGCAGTCTTAGGGCGAGGAGGGCGAGCCCTGCCCTGGTGCCTGGGGAGAGGACGGGGGCGCACTTGCTAGGAGTCCCGACGGCTGCGCGCACCAGGCTCCTCGGCCCTGTGCCGCCACCAGCAGACTCCGTCCCTGGAGTGCAGCTCAGCCTGGTGCCCCTTCCCCACGTGGCTGATGAGGGGGCAGAGACCCCGGGACCTGCAGTGAGGCTGTGGCCGCGTGACCTGCTTGAATCCTCTTTACTTGTGTTAGTGTAAGTTGCATAATTTACAGGTTGTGGTTTAATTTCTTAGCAGGTAAAACTGCGTAACACGAAATGTGCCCCTTGGCTCAGTGACACTGTTCATGGCCTTTCACCACCAGGGCCTCCAGCCCCAGGTGGGCATTTCATCACCGGCCTGCGCCCTGCTGGCACGGACATCGAATCACACGGCGCGTGGTCTCTTGTTCCTGAGTCCTCTCACGGGTCGTCATGTTGACAGGGTTCATTCGTGTGAGACTCGTGCCCTTTTATGGTGCCAATACTGTGTGGTAAGGACGGGCCGCCCGAGTTTCCCAGTCCTCAGCATCACCTGTGGGTCTCCCCGCTTCCTGGCCACTGGGAATAGTGCTGTTAGAAACACGTGTGCAAATTTCTGCGCGGACACCTGTTTCACTTCTCTTCAGTGGACATCTAGGAGTGGAACTCGTGCCCCTGGTGACTCTGGCTGACTGAAAAACTGCTGGTCTGTTGCGGGAGGCAGCTGCCCCAGTCACATTCCCACCACAGTCACGGCCGTTTCGGTTCCTGCGCTGCACCTGCAGCCCCTGTCAGGGTGTCTGCGTTTGCTTGAGACCCGTGGTGCTAAGCTCCTGTCGGGTGCTTGTGGGCCAGGGATGTCCTCGGCCCACCACCTCCCGGGGCGTTGCGGTTGAACTGTAGTTGCTCTTTCTCGTTCCGAATCCTAGACCCTTGTCACATCTGTGAATTGCAAATTTTCTCTCTCAGTCTTTTCACTTTCTTGAGTGCCCTTTTGGCACAAATGTTTTTAATTTGCCAACGTGCAAGGCACCTCTGGCTTTGCTTGTTGCTTCTGTCGTAGCATCGTCCAAGGTCACAGAGGTTTACACCTACATTTCTTTCTAACAGTTTTGTAGTTTTCGTGCTTATGTTAGGTCTTTGATCCATTCTGAATTAACTTTTGTGTATTTTTAAGGTAAGGGTCCAAACTCATCCCTTTCCATGTGGCTCTCTAGCTATCTCAGCACTGTTGTTTTTTTTTAAAGGTCTTGGCGCCCTTGTTGACAATGAACTGACCCTAGAAGAACCAGTTTATTACTGGGCTCTAAATTCTACCTTGTGGTCCACATGTGCATCCTCAGGCTTGGTTACTGCAACTTCAAGTTCCCAACCTCGTTCTTCTCCAGACCTGACAACTCTATATGCTGTTTAGGGTCCGCACACCCATTTCTGGAAAAGAAAACAAACCAACCTACAGTGGGAAGGCCACACGGTGCCTCCAGTTTTAAAGTTCAACAGCGAAGACGTGTGCGTGTCGGCGTAGGGGAAGGGCAGCGACGACGTGTACACCATAAAATGGGGGCAAAGAACGAGAAAATGGCAACAAGATGACAGATGACAAAGTAGCAGAACGTAGGTGGTTGTGGAGGGCACATGGAAGCCCAGGGTCCTGGCCCAAGTCCCACCTTCAGTGTCCCCTGGACAACAGGTGCCCAGACCTGTCATGGGAACACAGAAAGGGGTAGGCATATCCTCGCCTCGGATCAGTGGGCCAGGCAGGTGGGGCTCTCTGGATAGCTCCCCACTGCCCGCCCCACACCGGAGAGAAGTCAGAAACATCACCCCATCCTGTGAACAATAGCAGGAATGAGTGCCACGCTCAAAGCCCAGCAGGTGCAGCGTGTGGCCATCCGGCCTGCGACCCACATGGAGCCCGGCTGAGTGGGAGCCCGAGGGCAGCGGCTGTGCTGGACGTAGACCGTCTGGCCCCAGGGCTGCGTTGTGTGGACAGCCATCGCCAAAGATCTCCTTCCCACCGACCTCTGCAGATGGGTGTGGGGCACTTGCCACCTGGTGGGTTGTCACACCCACCCGGCTTGCTTTGGGTGGGCCCACCAGAGATGCATTCTCCACGGGGGTGGAGCACTCCAGCTCAAACAGCCAGTCAGCTCCGCCGCGCGCTGCCCACTGCTCCCAGCACAGTCCCTCTGCCCTCGCCTGGGCAGCCTCCAAGCACAGAGCGGTGGCCGAGCAGACACCTCTCCCCTGCCGGCCCACGGCTGCAGGGAGAGCGGGTCCGACCCACAGCTGAGCACTGACCCTCCAACACCAGGGACTCACGTGCCGGCGTGAAACAGCTGCTGTGACGATGAAGGGAAACGAAGTGGCCAGAGAGGGACCCCCCCATCAGCGCCCACCCTGGTAAAAGCCCGCTCCTCGGGTCCCGGCTCGCCATCCCTGCAGTTCCGTCTCACAGGTGAGCAGACACACTCATGGGCATGTTCTCACACCACCGCCCTTCTGCCCGGAGAGGAAGCACACGCCCTGTGGGCTTGACTGTCTCACTCGACAGTGTGGCCTGACGGTCACACCCGATCCGTGTCCTGGGCCCGACCTCGTCCTTTTCCCGGCTGCCTAGTGAAACCAAGCGGTGGTGATCAGTTTCAGGTTTGCTGTCTTGCAAAACTGAAGAATGAGTTCATGGACAAAGGGGTGAGTGAAAGCAAAATTTATTTGAAAGACAGACAGGCTCCCTGCAGTGGGGAGGGGACGTCAGAGGGGTGCCGGTGAGACTCTGTTGTCTGGGGGGGAGATATAGGCCCTGCCAGCCTCCGATGGGTCCTTCCAAGGAATTCTGCCTCAGCCACATGCATACAGTTTAAAGCTTGTGTTTCCCACCTGACTGGGCTTAGCCCTAGGCCATCCAGCTCTAAATGCATATGACCCTTCAGGGAAAAGCACATGTGGGCATCGCTGATTTAAAAAAACTCGCCCTGTCAGGTGAACTGGGGCAGATTTTTTTTGGGGGGGTATGTGCCCCTAGCAGGAACCGAACTTGGGACTCTCTGGTCCACAGGCTGATGCCCCAAACAGCTGAGCCAAACCGGCCAGGGTGGGGCAGATTTGATGAGCAAAGATATATATTGTCCCATAACATTCTCTAGCTGGTCACAGGGTTTTATTTAAAAGCAGACATTGAGGAAGCAAATCCTGACATTTGTGCAGAAGCTTTACTCCCAGGGAGGAGACAACTTGGTTGGGTGTGGGTGGGTGTGGATAAGAACAAATAAAGGAGCCCAGGTATCTACAGGGGCTTAGTGGCTTCCCTTTTTGTGATCATTTCCCTTTCTCCCAGACTGTTGGTGAGGAGGAGGAGACACCCTGGAGCAACCCTGTGTTTGCTTTTGGTTTCTAACAAATCTCGGTTTCCAGTCTTGGTTTCCTACCCCCTTAGAAGGTGACCTGGCCCTGCAGCAGGAACACACTGAGCAACCCTGCTGCCTTGCTCCCAGAAACCCGGAGGTATAGCAACTGGAGTAGGTCAGAATCGCAGCACTGTATTCCTTACGAGTGAATAAAATTCACTTGCAAACCTATCAGGGTCCAAGGAACTAGACAACAGCTGTTCTTCACCAAACTAGCCCTTCCAGGTTTGCTTAGTTATGCCATTGACCTGTGCTCCCTCCGGGAGCTTCTAATTTGCAGTTGAGGTAAGGTTTTCATTTCTATATGTCAGGAGTATTTTTTTTTTTAATCTTTTTTTTTTTTTTATTCTCACCCGAGGACACTTTTCCATTTTTTGTTCAGATAGAGCAGGAGGGAGAGA